GTTCCAAATCGTTCATTACCTGTATAAAATAACTTTATAAGAATACAAACAAAAATATTAAATAAAAAATGTTGAAAATAAAGAAATGCGTTTGTTAAAGTTAATCGTAAATACAATATTTTAAATAATTTACCTTCACATGAAGAATAAACCCATCTATCATCTCCTGCGTAGTAGGCTTCCATCTCTTACCATTTGTTAATGGCACAGGAACTGGAGTAAAGAGATGTCCTAATTTTAATAGAAGATTTAAATCAGAATTATCTAAAAAAAAGAAAGGCAAATTTTAATAATAAAGATTAACAAGAGGCAAGGAAAAGTACCAATCATATTAAAAACTTATTAATTATAATATATTCTAATTATATAGAATATTATAATTTTATATAATGAATGTTACCTTCCAAACACAATAGTAATGATAATTTTCTTGCAAACTCCGCCCATTTACTCCACATTCGCATATCATATTCCAAATATAATTTCTTAAAATCTGATAGAAGCTAAAAAAAGAAAAACATTACTATAAAAATTGTTTTTTAATTATCCACAAAAACATCTCTATATTGTTGCAAATTTATGCAAGCATATGTATACAAACTTACTAATTTGTAGCCAGTTGTCAACTGAAGAGCACCATATTCGGTAATATAATCATGTACGCTGCCTGTTCCCTGTCGCAATTGTGCTAATCGTATTTCATATGTAGCATCCCATTTTTCTTTTACTTCTTCATATGGATCTTTATGATTACGAAGCCACTCAAGCTTTCCAATCAAGTCATCGTTTAAAATTACATCTGTGTATAATAATAATAAATATGTATATATGTATATATACATATATGATTTTATTGTACAAGTTATTAATTACAATTCTTTGAAATCATTCGCTATTTTGAAAAATTTTAAGTTATATTATTTTATTCAAATATCAAACCTGATTCAGAATTTGCCGAAGAATTTCTCTTTCTTTTTTATCTTAATCCACTTTTGCGTAGATGTTTAAGATAATTTGTATACTTGTCGTAAAGTTTACCTTTGGCATTTACTTTTTTTTCCGCTGAATATCTTTTGTAAGGAATATAATATGTCTCCTATAAGAATGAATATATAAAAATTTAGCATTTAAAACAATAAACGGACTGTACATACATCTTTGTCCCTTAGAAATTATATATCTTTACGTT